AGTAAGACGGAGAATAGGATAGCAGATGAACAAGGAGGCTTTAGGAAAGGTAGGGGGTGTGTGGACCAGGTGTTTACAGTGAAACATATAAGTGAACAGTATTTAGATAAGGCTAAAGAGGTCTTTGTGGCATTTATGGATTTGGAAAAGGCGTATGACAGGGTGGATAGGGGGCAATGTGGCAGATGTTGCAAGTGTATGGTGTAGGAGGTAGGTTACTGAAAGCAGTGAAGAGTTTTTACGAGGATAGTGAGGCTCAAGTTAGAGTATGTAGGAAAGAGGGAAATTTTTTCCCAGTAAAAGTAGGCCTTAGACAAGGATGTGTGATGTCACCGTGGTTGTTTAATATATTTATAGATGGGGTTGTAAGAGAAGTAAATGCGAGGGTCTTGGCAAGAGGCGTGGAGTTAAAAGATAAAGAATCACACACAAAGTGGGAGTTGTCACAGCTGCTCTTTGCTGATGACACTGTGCTCTTGGGAGATTCTGAAGAGAAGTTGCAGAGATTGGTGGATGAATTTGGTAGGTGTGCAAAAGAAGAAAATTAAAGGTGAATACAGGAAAGAGTAAGGTTATGAGGATAACAAAAAGATTAGGTGATGAAAGATTGAATATCAGATTGGAGGGAGAGAGTATGGAGGAGGTGAACGTATTCAGATATTTGGGAGTGGACGTGTCAGCGGATGGGTCTATGAAAGATGAGGTGAATCATAGAATTGATGAGGGAAAAAGAGTGAGTGGTGCACTTAGGAGTCTGTGGAGACAAAGAACTTTGTCCTTGGAGGCAAAGAGGGGAATGTATGAGAATATAGTTTTACCAACGCTCTTATATGGGTGTGAAGCGTGGGTGATGAATGTTGCAGCGAGGAAAGGCTGGAGGCAGTGGAGATGTCATGTCTGAGGGCAATGTGTGGTGTGAATATAATGCAGAGAATTCGTAGTTTGGAAGTTAGGAGGAGGTGCGGGATTACCAAAACTGTTGTCCAGAGGGCTGAGGAAGGGTTGTTGAGGTGGTTCGGACATGTAGAGAGAATGGAGCGAAACAGAATGACTTCAAGAGTGTATCAGTCTGTAGTGGAAGGAAGGGGGGTAGGGTCGGCCTAGGAAGGGTTGGAGGGAGGGGTAAAGGAGGTTTTGTGTGCGAGGGGCTTGGACTTCCAGCAGGCATGCGTGAGCGTGTTTGATAGGAGTGAATGGAGACAAATGGTTTTTAATACTTGACGTGCTGTTGGAGTGTGAGCAAAGTAACATTTATGAAGGGATTCAGGGAAACCGGCAGGCCGGACTTGAGTCCTGGAGATGGGAAGTACAGTGCCTGCACTCTGAAGGAGGGGTGTTAATGTTGCAGTTTAAAAACTGTAGTGTAAAGCACCCTTCTGGCAAGACAGTGATGGAGTGAATGATGGTGAAAGTTTTTCTTTTTCGGGCCACCCTGCCTTGGTGGGAATCGGCCGGTGTGATAATAAAAAAAATAAAATATAAAAAATTCTCTGCTTTATATTCACACCACACAATGACCCTCAGACATGACATCTTCATCACTCATGCTTCACACCCATATAAGAGCGTTGGTATAACTATACTCTCACATATTCCCTCTCTTTGCTGCCATGGACAAAGTTCTTTGTTTCCACAGACTCCTCAGTACACCACTCACCTTTTTTCCCCTCGTCAATTCTATGATTCATCTCATCTTTCAGAGACCCATCTGTTGACATGTCCACTCCTAAATATCTGAGTACATTCACCTCCTCCATACCCTCTCCCTCCAACCTGATATCCAATCTTTCATTACCTAATTCTTTTGTTATCCTCATCACCTTACTCTTTCCAATATTCATTTTCAATTTTCTTCTTTTACATTCCCTACCAAACTCATCTACCAACCTTTGCAACTTCTCTTCAGAATCTCCCACAAGCACAGTGTCATCAGCAAAGAGCAACTGTGACAACTACTTCATGTTAGATCCTTTATCTTTTAACCCCACACCTCTTGCCAACACCTGAGCATTCACTTTTCTTACAACCCCATCTATAAATATATTAAACAACCATGGTGACATCACACATCCTTGTCTAAAGCCTACTTTTACTGGGAAATAATCTCAATCTCTCCTACATGCTCTAACCTGAGCCTTACTATCCTCGTAAAAACTTTTCACTGCTTTTAATAACCTACCTCCTATTCCAAATATTTGCAACATGTGCCATATTGCCCCCATATCCACCCTGTCATATGGCTTTTCTAGGTCCATAAATGCCACGAAAACCTCTTTACCCTTATATAAATACTGTTCACCTATATGTTTCACTATAAACACTTGGTCTATACACCCTCTACCCTTCCTAAAGCCTGCTTGTTCATCTGTTACCCTACTCTCCATCTTACTCTTAACCCTTTATCGGGCAAATGGCCATAAAATTAGAAATTCGAACTGAACTCCCTATAGTGGATAGAGTAACTCAATATAAGGTCAATGAGCCTATATAAATGGAATTCTGATGGTTAGTTTTCAAGCAACTGCAAATCTCCGAAGCACGAAAATTTCCGACCTTGCCCGACATAGGGAGTATAAATCTGAATGTTGCAAACTTGCAATTGTTAATAAAACACCCAATAACTATTTTTTAAATTTATTATACAAACAGACAATATCAAAAACATAAATGGAACTTGTATCAAAACAGTTTGTATGTATTAGAAAAATATAAAAATGAAACAAATAGCAACAAGGACACTTTGCAAAGGGATAAAACTTTCAAGTCCCATATTCCTGAGATTCATGAGGAAGACCAATTATTCTATATTGCTAATTGATAGTATGGTAGTCCCTGAAACAATTTCTATTACTCTTTATGCACAGATTTACTTTGCATACAGAACACTGAAATGAGGATGTGACATATTTCTTCGAGTTGCTGCAATACTTGCAACTAAATGGCTTTTTCCCTGGCAGTGGCAAGTAGTTTAGAGTTCTGTCAAGCTTAACACTGTCATCAGGCCTTTGTGCACGTTGGCCCTGCACAACTTTCACTATGCTGACACCACTGGAAGTACATGGTGAATTACAGTTGTCCCTCGCTTTTCGTAGTTCTCGGCAATCGTAAATTTCGCCAATCATAGGGGTATTTTCGTATAAACATGGACTCGCTTTTCATAGGTTGACTCGCGAATAGTAGTTCATCCGGGACATGTACGCACGGCGTGAGCCGGGGCGGCCTCCCTACCCAGCCAGTCTGGCATTGTTTAGCAGTGAGTGAAGGTCCCCTCAAGTGCTCCTACTAAATATTTCATAATATTCCACCCATTTTAGTGCTTGCAAGTACTAAATAAGCTACCATGGCTCCAAAGAAAGCTCCTAGTGCCAAGCCTGTGGTAAAGAAGGTGAGAAATATGTACAGTGACAAAGTCTTGGGCCATTTTAGGGAAGGGTTAGAGACGCCAGAAACAGAGCTCTCTCCACAGTTACTTTGCGAGACAGGACTAGAGTGACTCTCAAGGTGGTCCTAGTGGCATTAAGAAACAGAGAAGAGAATCAACCCCAGAGAAGCAACTGGTACCTGAGGTGTTGCTGGAAGGGGATTCCCCTTCCAAACTGTAAACAATCGAATCTCTCTCCTCCTCCAGTCTCCCATACACTAAGAAGAATCTCCAATAAAGGCAAGTGTTATGCTGTTAATGTTTCATTCATCATTTCCCATTGTACTGCTTATGTACTACATGCATATTTCAAGTAAAAAAAATTTTTCTTTTAATACTTCTGGGTGTCAGGAACGGATTAATTGTATTTACATTATTTCTCATGGGGAAAATTGATTCGCAACTCGTAAATTTCGTTTATAATAGCTCCTCCAGGAACGGATTAATTACGAAAAACGAGGGACCACTGTACTTGGTGAAGGTCTTGTAGATGTTCTTAGGGTGCTGCCTCTAAACTTTTGTCCTTTAGACCTTGCAGTGACAGATATCATTCCTGAAATACTTCAGTGCCATACACTTTGTATTTAGTGCTCGAGAATCACGGCAGTAAAGAAGCCATGCATTCACAACAGCAAGATCAAGAACATAGGCAAACAGCCGCATGTACCAACGTTTAGATTTCATTGGTGTTCTGTACAGATGCACCAACATGTTACTTTTGTCAATACCTCCCATGTTTGCATTATAGTTCTTGATGACTGCAGGGCACTGTAAGTGGTCTTTGTTCTTTGTAGCCTTGTTATATCTTTCAACAAGACTCAGAGGATTGACCCCAACATCACTTGTCACTAAAGTCACAACTTTGTTGTCCTTCCATCTTACAACAAGGACACCATCATTGTTTTTGAAGCTAAAAGTGCCCCTGTCCACAGTGTTCCTTTCCATTTGTCTGATAGGCATCAGATCTGGCTTACCACATCTATTTCCACGTACTGTTCCAGTGTATCTGCAGTTATACTTGTCTCTTAGTAGCTTGACCAAAGGTAGACTTGAAAGAGAAATTGTCAGCATAGATTGCTGATGTATTGGTCTTGTTCATAGTTGCTGCAAGTACCAGAACAATCTTTGTACTTATTGGAAGTTTAGTTTCTTCTTGTGGAAGCTTTATGGGATGGCTGTCAAAAGTTGGAGTGCCTTGATACACGAGTATATCATGTATGATTCCATCTTCACTTGCACGACAAAAAAGTTTGAAACCCCACTTATCTGGTTTGGTTTTGATGTACTGCCTTAGGTTTCCAGCAGTTTTACCCTTGAAACCAACCATGACTTCATCAATAGATTGCTTGGGTGTAGCTGGAACTTTCAAGCAACCATTAGTTAGTGCAGTGTAAAGAGGCCTTACTTTGTGGAATCTGTCATTATCCTTTTCTGTGTTGTCATTGAAATGAATAGTACGTCTAAGTAACCTAAATCTCTTAGACCCCATGGCTTCTGCAACCTGGGGGGATCCTAAATGCACTTTTCCAATAGTTTTCGAGTGATGGTAATGGAACAATACCCATGAACAACACAATACCTATGAACCTCATGATCTCCTCAGAATCTGTTGCAAAGTTATTATTTATGTTTTTTTGCTTGGCATACAAATTTGTTTGATATACTATATTATCTACCATGTCTGGAGTACAGAAAATACAAAAATACTCATATGGAGACCTAATTACAAGAGGCTTTTCATGTTTATATGCCGGCAAAGGATCATTTTTGAGGTCAACCTGGGACCACTGAGATGGACCTTGAAGAGCAATATCTTCATAAATATCTTCCTCATCAGGGTACTCCTCGATCGTAATACCTTTCTTTTTCTTCACTAATTTCTGCTTTTTGGCTGGCCTTTCTTCCTCCTCATCATCACTTGACACCTCTGCATCCGGTGGCAAGTATTCATCACCACTATCCAGCAATTCTGGGTCATCTACCTCCGGTTCTGAGTCACTGTCCTCCAAAATGCAGACATATTTTGACCTAGTGCTGGAGGGCTCCCCATAAAACAATTTCTCATTGATCTGGAAGGAAAATAAAAACCTTCTGTATAGATCCAGACCACTACAGAATTCATATATGCAATAGAATTTTTTTTATAAATATTTATTTTACTGAAATTGTACTACGTCACTTCACGGGCAGCCATGAAAATTTGTGAGCTTCCTTTGTTGCACTTTTTTCAACTGCATGCTACACTCACATTATGCTTCACAGGGACTTTATGTATATATCAAAATACAGTGGACCCCCGGTTAACGATATTTTTTCACTCCAGGCAGCACACTCCACCAATATTCAATACACTAAACCTATTCACCATACAAAACATTCATACTTATTACTGCACCTATTACATACATAGAACACTTAACTCTGATATTAACCCTCCCCTCAAACATCTCCTTGCCAACCTCAACAGAACACATGACCATAACACAAGGCACAGATCACTCTTTGATGTTCCTCGTGTCCATCTCACACTTTGCAAAAACTCAATGCACATAAAAGGCCCTAAAATCTGGAACTCATTACCTGTAAATATAAAAGAAACACTACCTGTTTATAAATTCAAGTCTCTCTCAAAGATCACTTACTCACCCAAAACCAAATAAATACTGAATAACTGAACCTTATAAATTGTATATCTTAAATGTTTCTCACAATTATATCACATAAATGTTAAACCTAAAACCCAATCTAACTTTACTATTTTTTAAATACACTACCTAACAGAATACTCCATTCTACTGAATGTACAACAATGCATACAGCCATATGACCTGTCTTTGTAATACTCACTTGTGCTTTATAGTAATCTGTTTACATTAAAGTTTTATCACCGATGTCATCATTGCTTAGTTCATCTTAAGTTAATTTTAAGCCAGCCCGTAATGCTATGCATAGTATAAGTGGCTTTGGCATACTGCTCTTTTTCTGTATTTTTTGTACCTCTGTATGTGTGCACAAATTTTTAAATAAATAAATAAATAAATAAATAAATGTTCAGGTGCCAGTATTGACCGAATTTGTTCCCATAAGAAATATTGTGAAGTAGATTAGTCCATTTCAGACCCCCAAACATACACGTACAAATGCACTTACATAAATACACTTACATAATTGGTCGCATTCGGAGATAATCGTTATGCAGGGGTCCACTGTATGCCTAAACTATTCATGGACGCACTAAACACAACAATAAGTACTTACCGACATTGTAGAGGGTAAAATCCAAGAGTATATTAGTGACACTGGATGGAAAAAACCCACTCTGGGCAACGCCAAGCCACAAGTGTTTATGTTTTGTTCTCTCAACCAATGGGAAGGCAGCAAACGCCATCACCACTTAGCTGAAGCGACTCAGGGAAGGCTTGTGATTGGTTAGAATTAAAGAACGGGAATCCAGATGCACGGCGTGTGTAGGATGACACACGCAAACTTGCACATGTTTAAGCTAGAAAATTTTAGAGGCTGCGCGACAAAGGGTTAATTCTTTCAATAATAACTACCACACACTACCAGGTATACTCAACAGACTTATTCCCCTATAATTATTGCATTCTCTGTTGTCCTCTTTGCCTTTATACAAAGGAACTATGCATGCTCTCTGCCAATCCCTAGGTACCTTACCCACTTCCATACATTTATTAAATAAAAGCACAAACCACTCCAAAACTACATCTCCACCTGCTTTTAACATTTCTATCTTCATCCCATCAATCCCAGCTGCTTTACCCCTTTTCATTTTACCCAGTCCCTCACGAACTAACCCCCACACTCATAACTCGCTCCTCCTCACTCCTACAAGATGTTGTTCCTCCTTCCTTTATGCACGAAATCATGGCTTCCCTATCTTCATTAACATTTAACAATTCCTCAAAATATTCCCTCCATCTTCCTGATACCTCTAACTCTCCAATTAATAACTTTCCTCTCCTATTTTTAACAATCAAATCCATTTGTTCCCTAGGCTTCCTCAACCTATTAATCTCACTCGAAAACTTTTTATTTTCAACAAAATTTGTTGATAACATCTCATCCACTCTCATTTGCTCTCTTTTTACACTGCTTCACCACTCTTAACCTCTCTTTTCCTCTCCATATACTCCTCCCTCCTTGCATCACTTCTACTTTGTAAAAACCTCTCATATGCTAACTTTTTCTCTCTTACTACTCTCTTTACATCATTCCACCAATCGCTCCTCTTCCCTCCCGCACCCACTTTCCTGTAGCCACAAACTTCTGCTGAACACACTAACACTACATTCTTAAACCTATTAGATATTACAGTATACAAGTGCAGAGATTTTTTTTATAATGTTTTTATTGAAGCTACTAACAGAGAGATCATTTTAACCTACGCAGGTTTCTCCAAATCTTGGGTCCTTTGATTTGCATAGTATATACTCAAGTTGTGACATTTAAACCCATGCTTCACACCCATATAGCAGTGTTAGTACCACTATACTCTGGTACATTTCCCTTTTGCCTCCATGGATAAGGTTCATTGTCTCTACAGATGCCACAAAGCACCCCCCCTCACCAATTCTATGATTCACCTCATCTTTCACAGACCCATCTGCTAACAGGGCCACTCCTAAATATCTAAACACACTTACTTCCTCAATACTCCCTCCTTCCAATCTGATAGCCAATCTTTCATTGCCTAGTTTTTTTGTTATTCCATAACCTGTGTCTAGTTATAAGTAGTGTGTAAGCATTAAGATTAGTCTGCTGAAATCCTCATGCATGTCATTGGCTTTTTTTGTGCTTAACAATATTTTATTACATGTAAACTATACACTGTATACTATGAAAAGAAAGAATTTTTAATTTTTTTTATTTATTTATTTATTATTTTATTATCACACCGGCCGATTCCCACCAAGGCAGGGTGGCCCGAAAAAGAAAAACTTTCACCATCATTCACTCCATCACTGTCTTGCCAGAAGGGTGCTTTACACTACAGTTTTTAAACTGCAACATTAACACCCCTCCTTCAGAGTGCAGGCACTGTACTTCCCATCTCCAGGACTCAAGTCCGGCCTGCCGGTTTCCCTGAATCCCTTCATAAATGTTACTTTGCTCACACTCCAACAGCACGTCAAGTATTAAAAACCATTTGTCTCCATTCACTCCTATCAAACACGCTCACGCATGCCTGCTGGAAGTCCAAGCCCCTCGCACACAAAACCTCCTTTACCCCCTCCCTCCAACCCTTCCTAGGCCGACCCCTACCCCGCCTTCCTTCCACTACAGACTGATACACTCTTGAAGTCATTCTGTTTCGCTCCATTCTCTCTACATGTCCGAACCACCTCAACAACCCTTCCTCAGCCCTCTGGACAACAGTTTTGGTAATCCCGCACCTCCTCCTAACTTCCAAACTACGAATTCTCTGCATTATATTCACACCACACATTGCCCTCAGACATGACATCTCCACTGCCTCCAGCCTTCTCCTCGCTGCAACATTCATCACCCACGCTTCACACCCATATAAGAGCGTTGGTAAAACTATACTCTCATACATTCCCCTCTTTGCCTCCAAGGACAAAGTTCTTTGTCTCCACAGACTCCTAAGTGCACCACTCACTCTTTTTCCCTCATCAATTCTATGATTCACCTCATCTTTCATAGACCCATCCGCTGACACGTCCACTCCCAAATATCTGAATACGTTCACCTCCTCCATACTCTCTCCCTCCAATCTGATATTCAATCTTTCATCACCTAATCTTTTTGTTATCCTCATAACCTTACTCTTTCCTGTATTCACCTTTAATTTTCTTCTTTTGCACACCCTACCAAATTCATCCACCAATCTCTGCAACTTCTCTTCAGAATCTCCCAAGAGCACAGTGTCATCAGCAAAGAGCAGCTGTGACAACTCCCACTTTGTGTGTGATTCTTTATCTTTTAACTCCACGCCTCTTGCCAAGACCCTCGCATTTACTTCTCTTACAACCCCATCTATAAATATATTAAACAACCACGGTGACATCACACATCCTTGTCTAAGGCCTACTTTTACTGGGAAAAAATTTCCCTCTTTCCTACATACTCTAACTTGAGCCTCACTATCCTCGTAAAAACTCTTCACTGCTTTCAGTAACCTACCTCCTACACCATACACTTGCAACATCTGCCACATTGCCCCCCTATCCACCCTGTCATACGCCTTTTCCAAATCCATAAATGCCACAAAGACCTCTTTAGCCTTATCTAAATACTGTTCACTTATATGTTTCACTGTAAACACCTGGTCCACACACCCCCTACCTTTCCTAAAGCCTCCTTGTTCATCTGCTATCCTATTCTCCGTCTTACTCTTAATTCTTTCAATTATAACTCTACCATACACTTTACCAGGTACACTCAACAGACTTATCCCCCTATAATTTTTGCACTCTCTTTTATCCCCTTTGCCTTTATACAAAGGAACTATGCATGCTCTCTGCCAATCCCTAGGTACCTTACCCTCTTCCATACATTTATTAAATAATTGCACCAACCACTCCAAAACTATATCCCCACCTGCTTTTAACATTTCTATCTTTATCCCATCAATCCCGGCTGCCTTACCCCCTTTCATTTTAACCTACTGCCTCACGAACTTCCCCCACACTCACAACTGGCTCTTCCTCACTCCTACAAGATGTTATTCCTCC